GTATACGTAACAGTAAATATGTAAAAGTTACATATTTTTACAAAAAAATCGTAGAAAAAACTGGTTAATTATTAAGTTTTAAGCTTGGATTAGCCAATTTGGTGTATCATACAAAATTTTTTCATATAAAATAAAAAATTGTTTAAAAGTATAAAATTTTAATTTGTGGAATTTTGTAATTTCTGTAATGTCAATTAATGAATTTAAAGAAATGTGTATATTTTCTTGCAGCAACAGATATATTGATTAACGTTACATATTTTGCATACATTTACCAAAGGTCCTTGGCACTAGTATCCTTGCAATTTCCCTAATAACCCAAGAAAATGGTAATAATTTTCAACCCATGTTTAATTTTTGAAGGATAATTGCAATTATATTCCGATTTTCTAGTAAAAATATATATATTTAAGATTCGCCAACTGTGCCTTGAACAATTTCTAATGCGGTCAAATGGCATATCCTTTACAGAAATTCTTAAAAAATTTAAAATATCCACGAAAAGACTTAAATATTGTGAGTTGCTTACCTTTGAAAAAATGTCTTCTGGCAACGGCAGCGGGTACTGATGTGGTTCTAAAGCGTTGTTCAAACCTGTAGAAAAATCGGCACATATCCTGATGGACCCGTTTGGTTTTCGAATAACCACTATAGGTGCAGCCCATTCCGAATAACTTACTTGTGAAATTACACCAATTTGTTGTAACCGTTCCAATTCTGCTTCTACGAAATGTTGCACCGCATACGCGACGGGACGCTTGGGTCGAAAAACTGGTTCTTGATTTGGCTTGGCTGTTTGTTTTTGTACACAACCCTAAAGTTCCTTCGAACACTTCTGGAAATGAGTCTTTTTAAAAAAGACAATTTCTCATTAAAAACAAAAGGAGTTTCCTTCAACTGAGATTGTCTATTTCGTAAATCTGCAAAAAGTCATATTTTTCGAGGAATGAATTCTTAGAATGTTAATAACTTCTATGTAGTTAGTTTTTAAAAAAAGTTTCTGACGTAAACTTATAAAGAAGTAATTAATGTTTATTACCTAATTGTTTACAAACATATACTATGTCCTTGCGGAGACTTATAAAGAGGATAATAAAGGTGTTACGTATATGTACCAGTGGGCAGTTCTCAGTACTTTTTGTCCCACTCTACATACAATATAAATAATGAACAACTTGCTTACTTTTTTATGAAATCTGCCTCAAAAATAGTTTTTTATCAGAGGAATGGGTTTTTAACGTAATAAAAAACAACATATTTTCTTGAAATATTGATATTTGATGACAAGCAATATATTTTTAATGTAAATGTTTCTATTAAATCGTCTTTTCGTGGATATTTTAAATTTTTTAAGAATTTCTGTAAAGGATATGCCATTTGACCGCATTAGAAATTGTTCAAGGCACAGTTGGCGAATCTTAAATATATATATTTTTACTAGAAAATCGGAATATAATTGCAATTATCCTTCAAAAATTAAACATGGGTTGAAAATTATTACCATTTTCTTGGGTTATTAGGGAAATTGCAAGGATACTAGTGCCAAGGACCTTTGGTAAATGTATGCAAAATATGTAACGTTAATCAATATATCTGTTGCTGCAAGAAAATATACACATTTCTTTAAATTCATTAATTGACATTACAGAAATTACAAAATTCCACAAATTAAAATTTTATACTTTTAAACAATTTTTTATTTTATATGATGTGGTACTGATGTGGTTCTAAAGCGTTGTTCAAACCTGTAGAAAAATCGGCACATATCCTGATGGACCCGTTTGGTTTTCGAATAACCACTATAGGTGCAGCCCATTCCGAATAACTTACTTGTGAAATTACACCAATTTGTTGTAACCGTTCCAATTCTGCTTCTACGAAATGTTGCACCGCATACGCGACGGGACGCTTGGGTCGAAAAACTGGTTCTTGATTTGGCTTGGCTGTTTGTTTTTGTACACAACCCTAAAGTTCCTTCGAACACTTCTGGAAATGAGTCTTTTTAAAAAAGACAATTTCTCATTAAAAACAAAAGGAGTTTCCTTCAACTGAGATTGTCTATTTCGTAAATCTGCAAAAAGTCATATTTTTCGAGGAATGAATTCTTAGAATGTTAATAACTTCTATGTAGTTAGTTTTTAAAAAAAGTTTCTGACGTAAACTTATAAAGAAGTAATTAATGTTTATTACCTAATTGTTTACAAACATATACTATGTCCTTGCGGAGACTTATAAAGAGGATAATAAAGGTGTTACGTATATGTACCAGTGGGCAGTTCTCAGTACTTTTTGTCCCACTCTACATACAATATAAATAATGAACAACTTGCTTACTTTTTTATGAAATCTGCCTCAAAAATAGTTTTTTATCAGAGGAATGGGTTTTTAACGTAATAAAAAACAACATATTTTCTTGAAATATTGATATTTGATGACAAGCAATATATTTTTAATGTAAATGTTTCTATTAAATCGTCTTTTCGTGGATATTTTAAATTTTTTAAGAATTTCTGTAAAGGATATGCCATTTGACCGCATTAGAAATTGTTCAAGGCACAGTTGGCGAATCTTAAATATATATATTTTTACTAGAAAATCGGAATATAATTGCAATTATCCTTCAAAAATTAAACATGGGTTGAAAATTATTACCATTTTCTTGGGTTATTAGGGAAATTGCAAGGATACTAGTGCCAAGGACCTTTGGTAAATGTATGCAAAATATGTAACGTTAATCAATATATCTGTTGCTGCAAGAAAATATACACATTTCTTTAAATTCATTAATTGACATTACAGAAATTACAAAATTCCACAAATTAAAATTTTATACTTTTAAACAATTTTTTATTTTATATGAAAAAATTTTGTATGATACACCAAATTGGCTAATCCAAGCTTAAAACTTAATAATTAACCAGTTTTTTCTACGATATTTTTGTAAAAATATGTAGCTTTTACATATTTACTGTTACGTATACGTAACGTCTTCTAAAATCCAAACAAGGCAAGAAAAATTTTTTTAATTGAAGTCGGTTTATATACACAAGTAAACTGTCATATCCAAATTTCACATTTCTACCTTACGTAGATCGCCGTGGGCATTAATGGGTTAAAGCTTGGATCCAATCCAATCCTAATACATTTAAATCATTAAGAGGTGTTACGTAACAAGTTACCATCGCTTGTTTATCACGAAATTTTAAACTGCATTCAAATTGAAATGATAAAGGTAATTTGCCTGTTGCACTTCTGGCTGTGTCTTTTACCTCCGTAGCATTATTTACACGAAGTTGTTTAAAAGTGTTTTCTGAAATTATGGATATATCCGAAGCAGTATCTAACTGAAGCTTGATCAACGTGTTATTGACTTCAACACAAATATATTTTCTTTGTGTGTCAATTTTCTTGACTGCAAAAATGCTTTTTGTTTCATAGCTGGTGGTTTTTGGTTTTTTATTATAACGATTTTGTTTCGCATTATTTTGTTTGACTTTCTTTTTATTTTTAGATACGCTGCAGTAGCCTTCTTTGTGACCTACTACGTTGCACTGCTCACATTTATGCTTTTTGTATGAACACTCGTTTGCAAAGTGCATACCACGAGTCTAGACATCTTCTCACAATAAACACCCACATGGGGCTGTTTAGATATAATCGTATGGTGTTTGGAGTAAAAACATTCCCAGCCATATTTCAGCAGATTATGGACAAAATGTTAGCAGGTATGGAAAACGTAGTCGCATATATCGATGATATCTTTGTATCAGGTAAGGATATAACCGAACACAGCAACAACCTACAAGAAGTTCTACATCGTAAAAAAGATTATGGTTTTAAAATTAAATTTGAAAAATGTAAATTCTTTGCAACAGAAGTAAGATATCTCGGGTATGTCATAAATCAAGAAGGTTTACAACCCGATCCAAATCGTATATCAGCCATTCAAAGAATGCCTGAACCAACAAATATTACAGAACTTCGTTCATTTCTCGGAGCTATAAATTTTTATGGAAAATTTGTTAGCCAAATGCGAGCAAAAATTGTTGTTAAAATCAAATGTAAAATGGCAGTGGACTCAAGTTCATAACAAATGTTTTTTAAAATTAAAAGAAATTCTTTCGTCAAAATTACTCTTAACTCATTGTGATCCAACAAAGAGCATTATTGTTGCGGCAGATGCATCAAACTATGGTTTGGGAGCATGTATTCTTCACGAATATGCAGACGGAAGTATTAAAACTATAAGTCACGCCTCAAGATCGTTGACCCCAGCCGAAAAAGCGTATAGCCAAATAGAAAAAGAAGCTTTGGCATTGGTCTTTGCAGTAACGAAATTTCATAAAATGATATTTGGAAGAAGGTTCAAGTTACAAACTGACCACAAGCCGTTACTTGCAATATTTGGAAAGAAGACGGGTATAGCAGTACACCAAGCAAATAGATTGCAACGATGGGCGGTTCAACTTTTAGCATACGATTTTGACATAAATTTTATTTCAACAAATAGTTTTGGTTATGCTGATGTCTTATCGCGTCTTATAGACAAACAACAGTTCAACAGCGAAGAATATGTCATTGCTGCAATTAAATTTGAAAAAGAAATTAAACAAATTTTATTTGAAAATTTAGACAAATTACCAATAACACATAAAATGGTAAAGTATGAAACACAAAAAGATGTCATTTTAAAGCAAGTTTTTAAATATATTGAAAAAGATTGGCCAGATAAAATAGAAAACGTGGATCTCAAACCGTATTTTAACAGGAAAAATGATTTTTCTATTGTAGACGGCGTAATTATGTTTGGAAACAGAGTAGTTATACCCTCAATTTACCGTAAAAGAGTTCTTAAACAAATTCACCATGGCCATCCAGGAATAGAGAGATCAAAGGCAATTGCGAGAAGTTACATATATTGGCCGAATATAGACGATGACATAAAAGTTTTGGTTCAAAATTGTCACAATTGCGCCTCTGCTGCTAAAATGCCAACAAAAATGACTCTTCAGCCATGGCCTATACCTTCAGAACCATGGCAACGCCTTCATATAGATTATGCTCGACCAATTGAAGGGCAATATTTTCTGGTCATAGTTGACGCACTTTCTAAGTGGCCTGAAATTATAGCAACAAAAACAATAACTACTCAACAAACAATTCAAATCCTTCGAGAAGTCTTTGCTCGTTTCGGTTTGCCGGAAATTGTCGTATCTGACAACGGAACGCAATTTAAGAGTTCTCAATTTGAAGAGTTTATGCAACAAAATGGTATTAAGCATATTTGTTCCAGCCCATACTATCCAATGTCAAATGGTCAAGCCGATACTTTTAAAAGGATGCTTGCAAAATCAACAGAAGAGGGCACCGTATGCGAAAATTTAAACACGTTTTTACAAAATTATCGTTCGACAACAAACCCAAATACACCTGACAAAAAGTCACCAGCCGAAGTTTTATTAGGCAGGAAAATGAGTATTACCTTAGATCTTTTAAAGCCGACTAAGAACAATAACAGAAATGTATCAGTACCTCACAATAAAATTGCTGAACAGTTTAACAATAAACATGGTGCGAAAGAAACGAATTTTGATGAGCAGGATGCTGTTTATGCAAGAATATACAAAGGTAATAACAATTTTTGTTGGAGTCCCGACTAAGAACAATAACAGAAATGTATCAGTACCTCACAATAAAATTGCTGAACAGTTTAAAAATAAACATGGTGCGAAAGAAACGAATTTTGATGAGCAGGATGCTGTTTATGCAAGAGTATACAAAGGTAATAACAATTTTTCTTGGAGTCCCGGAAGAGTTATTGAACGCATTGGTAATGTTATGTACAACATTTCATTGAATAATGGTAAATTAATTCGGTCACACGTGAACCAATTAAGAACAAGATACAATAAAGAGGACAAAACAAGTGTTGAAAGAGATTGGTGTATAGCCTTAGATGCATATGAAAATACTGAGCTACAAACAAATGACCAAGTTCCACAATCCACAACTGTTATTGATTCCTCAGATAGAAATACTAGAGTGGTACCTCATCCAACTTTAACTAATATAAATGAAATAGAAGTCACAACGACACCCAGAAGGTCTCAACGACAGCGACATCCAGTTAGCCGTTTTAGTTCCACCTAAACACTAAAAAGGAGAGGTGTTGTATGGTAACCTTTCATTCTAATATTTCAGAACATTTCCTAAAACATGTACATATATAATAATAAAATGAAGTTATGACTGTATTAGTATAAGTGTGAAGTAACTATGTAATTTTTAAGACGTTAGTTAGCCGTTTTAGTCCCACCTAAACACTAAAAAGGAGAGGTGTTGTATGGTAACCTTTCATTCTAATATTTCAGAACATTTCCTAAAACATGTACATATATAATAATAAAATGAAGTTATGACTGTATTAGTATAAGTGTGAAGTAACTATGTAATTTTTAAGACGAGTAATAAAGAAGTTTTGAAGAATACAACACATACAAACTAAAATACTCATCAAATAAATTAAATCCTTCAAAAATTTGCATTCAGTTTAAATATTAAACCTAATATTAATATGAATTTGTAATTTGTAATTTTTAGCATTGAAATTTATAATTAAAACTATTAGACGTATAAGAAAGATCCTTTATAATATAAACAAATTTAAATTAATTTCTAAAATTTTCTAATTAAAATTAAATTAATTAGTTAATTTTAAATCCAATATTAATAATTATATTTCATAACTTGTCTATTTTGAATTGTATAAAAAATAGTACTTATTTTTTTTGTTACGCATTTTTTTGTAAAGTATCTTTAGTAGAGAGTAACAAGAATTATTTAATTACATTAAGTTTTTTATCACCACATTCCTCTGCTGGGCCCAACATCGGAACAATGGGTATGAAAGGTTTTAAGTAAAATTACAACAACAAACAATAACTGCTGTAAGTAATGTAAATTTGATAATTTTCTCTTATTACTTATTATTATATTAATTACTTTATTATTCTTATTATTTACTATTGATATTATTGTCCGATTCCGTCCGTTTCATTAGTTAAATCTCTGTTTCATTGATTTTGTTTATTCACATTATCATTTAGTCAAGTAATTCAACTCAAAGAGTTACTTTATAATGCTATATTAAGAAAATATTTTTTTTATTTTGTTTCATTTCGTTTATTGAATTTAATTTTGCGTAAATTATATTTAGATATAGGATTATTTCTTATATTTTGTTGTTTTTTTAATACTTCTTTGATTCTCTTTGTTAATAAATATGCACATTGTTTGAATTTGAAAATATGAATTGCTAAGTCTAAATTATTTTGGGAGTGACAGATTTTTCATTATGCATAAGAAATTAATATCGATCTAAGCATTTTTAGGGACAATCAGCTTAAACTATAGGGTATTTTGATTGTCATAGGTGTTTTATCAATTGGGAGGGAAGAATTGTGCCCTTAGGCATAACATTAAGCCTCAAATCTGTTTTGAGGCTTAATTAAATTTTTTTGAATCTACATTTGGTATTTTGTTTGGCATAAATGTAGATTTTATATGTGACGCGCTAGAAATTCGGGTTAAGAACCACGTTGCCAAATCCCTTAACAGCTAGCTGGGAAACTAGACCTTGTTATTGACTCAACTTTCTGTAGAGATCTTTCATTACAAAATGCTTATAAATCTCAAAGATCTAGCCTGCGCTCAACAAAGTAAAAGATAACCTGCTATCCTTCAAAGTTGAAAGAACTTTTTCATGTAATGTGAAAACACAGGGCACATTCTTTACATTGAATGCTAGTTTGATTCCTATTAATGTTATCATTGCATGATCCGCATTTAAAAGTTTTAGTTGAAGGCGACATTTTTTATTTTAGTTGTTGTAAATAAACAAAAGTAATTTGCAACAAAGCAAATGAACAACAGCAAGCAGCAACAAACAGCACCAGTACACTTCCAATTATTAAACAGTGAACAACAGTTCAATTTAAATAATTATATTTAATAATAAAAAAGCACTCAAATTTTTAAATAAATAAATGCAAAAAGCACCTCTTAATTTATCTTTAGCAATAAATTAAGTTAATTTTATTAGCAAATGATCAGCTGCAGAAAAAAAACACTTCTACTCAGGCATGAAGTTGCCAGATTTTAATTGATTATTAATTAATTTAATTAGTCCATTATGTTGTGCAAAAAAATAATTTGATTGTAAACAAATGAGTGGACCTATTTAAGTGAGATGTAACTTCAGGAATATTGTTTTTTTTTTCATTATATTTGCATTTATTAAAGTGTAAAAGTAAAAATATATATCGTCAACTAAAATGCAAAAGGGCGTAACAACACTTTTAAAAATTTTACATGAAAGATAAAAAACTAAATAAAATGAAAACTATTGTTGATATAAAAATTAAATTTTTATACCTATTATATCCAACTTCAATAAAAACGTTTGAATATAAGAGTCCCGCCAGATATTGTCTATTATTTTGCGACAACATGTACATTAGGGATATAACTAATTTCGCGAACCACCACATGATTGCCAATGTTGTACAAGTAATGAAAATAATTTTTTTAGGTCAATTGGAATCAAAAACATCACGCACCAACCCCAATTTCTAATATAAACCAAATTTTATTAAAATGTTTATTTTTATTATTTTCAAATTTTAATATTTATTATATACGGTCACTTTTTAACGGAAAAGTACTCTTTTGTCATATCGCGACTCATCACTGCCTATATCTCTGCACTTTTTGATTTTTACGCAAATATAATATTTTACATCCCTAAATCAAAAAGTCCATAATATATATTTGTTGATCATATTTGTTTTGACCATATCTCCGATTCTTATTGACCGATTTTACTGATTTTAGTCAGCTAAATTCTTAAAAGCATATCTAATGGAATTATTTAAGATTTGGATTCCCGAGATTTATGGGGCCTTCAAAAAATTAATTTAAAAAAACAGACGAACAGACATTTGATGCGTGAACTTTTTTAATAACCGCAAAAAAATAATAACGTAGTTTCTCACATTTTGTAAAGGCCTATGCTATGCCAACCCTAATGTACATATTTTCAATCAAAAAGTTGATTTTAAATGTTTTGGTTGTTACGCCCCTTTGCATTTCAGGTGACGATTTTCGCTCATTTACTACAAGAAAAATGGCTTTGAATGTTTATTGGCATTTTACTATTTTTTAATTAACTTTTAAACAAATCTAAAATTAAACAGATTCAGATAGTAAAGATGTAGATGTTTCTCATCTAAATTGAAATTAAATTTTTATATATCTAATATTCGTGAAAACATGAGTTTTAGTTTTTGCGTTTACAAAAAAATCGATCTCACATCGAAAATAATAGTGATACAATTTAAAATTTTATAAATCTATATAAAAAACTTAGTATGTCGAACGTTTTGTAGCACTCAGTTCAAAAAATCCGAATTTTGGATTATGGCAGTCTTGTAGTAAATGAGCGATATGTTCGTAATCTAAGAACTCTACTTAATATAAGAACCCTTGCAAAAAATGTTTGTTCATTTTTGTATCACAGTGTAATCATTTCCATCATTCGTTTTAGCAAGACCTTTGGATTTCCATATTGATTTAAGTCGATAAACGCATTCTCGGTGGCCTGAATTCCATAGCTTTGTAATAAGAAATCCTACAGTTCCTTCCTCATCCGAATTACGTAACCAATCCAATAAAAGTTGATAAATAATCTGAAAAGAAATAAACTACAATTAATCTTTGAAAACTATAATATATCTATACAGATTTATCAAAGTTTTTATTCAAAATATTTAGTGTGAATATAAACAGATCCTAACACGTGTAAAAACCTTTTTATGAATGAGAATTGCATCTAAATTATGAAATATTACGTAATATATAATTAATATTAGAAGGCACGTGGTCTCCAATAACTAAAGACCTGTAAATAAACTTTTATTTAAAATTTCACGTGAACTAACTGGAGCCTATATTATTTCATATAAATGAAAAAAATGTTGCTGAAATGAATGAAAATTCAGCAACATTTTTCTATAAAATTTTCATTAAAATTTTTTTGTATGAAGTTATTAAAAATTTCACGTGAAATTTTGAACAGAATACCAAGCTTAAATTCAAACATCAATATTTTAAATATTTTTTTAAATTATGTAATTTTATAGAAACATATATATAGAAAAATAACCGGTTTATTAAAAAAACTAACTATTTAAATAAATAGGATTGGATTGTTTATATTATAATTAACTAAAGAAATACTATGGTTGATTAAATGCCACTAGATTACAAAAACATATTTTTTGTTTGTTTGTTAATGGAAAGACAGATCCATACACAAACATTTTGAGATAAAAAGGTTTTAATTTTACATCTCTTTTTAGTAGTTAAAATATTTGAAAATGAGTATTGATTTTTCGATGCTTCCGCCATTTTTGAACACAAAGGAGGATGTACATATATACATCAAATCATAAGAAATACACCTAGGCCTCTATCGGGCCTGTTGTGCGCTCATTAACTAATGCCTCAGGTGGAAATCGAACCCACCACCTCCGGTCTACCAGACTAGAACACTAACCACTAACCTACCGGAGGCCACATAACAATCAACTCAGAAATAATATAAAATTTAGGACATTCTTAACCCACTTTTTACCAGATTTTAGTAATTTAAAAATAAAATAAAATTTGAAGATATTTATTTCAGAATTACAATCTCATAGATTTAAATATATGGGTCATTTCGTGTCAAGTGACCAAATTTAAGAATCGATGTCTTCAGATTAAAATATGAGGGATATGGGCAATTTCATATCAAGTGACCAGACTCAACAAATCGATTTTGACGAAATTTGCGCCAAGGTTAGCAATATTTGGCAAGTAGGCCAGGCACAAGCGCTATCGACCCAGAACTGCCGGACTTAGAGGGGGTCAAAGTTGGACATTTTGGTCATACATGGTTTTATTCAAATGAGTATAACATTTCACCTATTGATCCTAGCAAAAATTATCGAAAGGTGTCCCATAATGGGATGCGAGTGGGATGATATTTATCAAAAAGAATCATTTAAATTAAGAATTAGATATCCTATTATGGGACTATAAAGCCCTTAAAGAAAATTGTTTAAGCTATCTTCTGAGCAAAAAAAATAGTTTTTTGAAAAAAATTGTTTAAAAAAAAATAAATTTTAAAACATTAAAAAAAAAATTTATTTTAAAAAATCTAAAAAAAATTGGAAACAATGAAGAAATAGCTATCTGTGCCCGTGTTTTGAACCCCTTTGGACAATTATTGCTAGGACCAATAAGTGAAAAGTTACACTCATTTGAATAAAACCCTGTATGACCAAAATGTCCAACTTTGACCCTCTCTAAGACCGGCAGTTCTGGACCGATAGCGTGTGTCTGGCTTATTATCCAATAGTACTAACCTTTGGGCAAATTTCGCCATTACCCTCATATTTTATGACATACATTTAAACTTTTTTCGAACAACTTCTGAAAGTACAAATTTTTAACGGAATTTTCAATAATTTTGTAATATGAAAACCATTCTCAAAATATTGTGAGATAGATCAATAACATTTGTTATACAAAAAATTACTAAAACTATATTTATACTTTTTTCGAACAACTTTTGAAAGTACAAATTTTTAACGGAATTTTCAATAATTTTGTAATATGAAAACCATTCTCAAAATATTGTGATATAGATCAATAACATTTGTTATACAAAAAATTACTAAAACTATATGAAGGGCTTATTCCAGTAACTAGATAAGCCACCCACCATCATAATTCGTTTTTATGTGCTTTTTGATTTGCAAGGAACCATATCTATTGTCCCTAAAAAGATTTTTAGCATATTATGGTAAATTGGCGATATAAGAAGCATGCTCCTTTTTCAATTTACACTATTTGTAAGAATTTTTATTTCATTAACTTGATGCCACATATATTTTTTACACTTTTTAAGAAAGTTCTTTATAATGATGAAGATAAAAGCGGAATTGATAACTTTTTATGTTGTTGTGATATAACAAGGTAAGACAAGTATCATTCTAATAAGAAAAAATTATTTTGTCCAAAATCTCAAGAGATATAATTTTTATACCCTACACCACTATAGTGGGGAGGATATTATACGTTTGTGCTGATGTTTGTAACACACAAAAATATTGGTCCTACACCCACCTTAAAGTATACCGATCGATTCAGAATCATTGTTTAAGTCGATTAAGACATGTCCGTCCGTCTGTCCGGCTGGCTGGCTGTCCATGTATACCTTGTGCGCAAGGTACAGGCCGCAATTTTCAAGATAAATTGATGAAATTTGGACCAAGCATGTTTTTTGGCACAGGGACGAAGCCTATTGAAAATGGTTGAAATCGGTCCATTATTTCACCTTGCCCCCATACAACCGTACCTCCCGATTTTGACTTTTTATGCCATAATTACGTGAAATATACTATTATCTCTCTAAAAATTGGCACAAATAAGTTTTATATAAGTATAAATGACACTACAGATTTTCGTAATGATCGGCCTTTATTTGACCCTAGCCCCCCATCAAAAAATTGCTTACATATTTTGCAATTAAGGTAAAATTCAACATAAAAGTTTCGTTATGAAAAATAAAAAATTTTAAAATATACTAATGGTGTAGGGTATTATATACTTTCCTACTTGTTTGAAATTAAAGTGGCTTACCATGTTACTGCACAAAATAATTTAATTTATAATTATGTTGCTTACCAAGTTTTTGCTGTTTGGAAAATGTTCGATTTTTTTTTTTAAATTTAACTCTCATTTCGCGAAAATATCTTATATAATGTTCAAACTATATGTATAATATAAAGTCTATTTATCATACCAAATTACCAAAGATATTGCAAAATATGCAAAAATCTTTATAAAACATGTCACAATTATCAGCTTATATAAAGTGCATATCGACCCCTTTTTTGACAATGGATTTGAAATTTCTAAAATCCAACATGCATCAAATTGGTTCAGATGTTCAAAATGATGATCAAGAAGCAGAAAATCAACTATGCTGAATAAAAGCAAGATTATCTCAAATTTTAATCTGAATATTTAGTGCAAACTCCAAACCAATGTGTTTTGTCATTCTATTTAAAATATTTGTTTGCCCTTCTACTGAATTATACTGCAGAACCTGACTTTTACTGCAGAATAATTTAGCTATATTTAGCCAAATTTATTCTCATATGAAGAAGTAACTAAAAATATAACAAAATGTAAATTTCGTATTGAAAATAAAATTTATATATTTTTTTTTTTTTCAAGAACATGATAAGCCACTTTGAAAATGTACTAGAACTTGGTTTTTGAAACTAAAAAATATTTAATTGTTGTTAGGCAATAACTTGATAAGCCACAACTTTTTGATAAAACAGTGGTTTTTATGATGTCCATCTATTGTAACGGTTCACGCGATGTGCCATATCCTTCAGGAGACCTGCGCTACCTATTATTCCGACCGTGCTCAGGGTTTGGGGTGGTGTTCTTGTCTTCATCAGGATAGGCTAAGAACCGCACATTAATTTAAGAAGGTAGCTATCAAAATATTAACTAAAGAAATAAATAAAATAAAGAACAAAAAAAAAAGAGTTTGAATTTGAAGTCAAGAGAAGATGATGACATTTCTTCTCATTCTAAACCCTTCCAACCTTTGTATCTTAGTAAAACATCCTTAAGATACCCTAATATTATTCTCTAACTATATGTATGACTAACCTTTCGTGGAATAAACGAATTTAACTAATTTATCATAATGTAATTTAAATTAAGAACATTTATTATTAAAATTTGAACTTAACATATAAAAAGAATAATTTTTAACAATAAATAAAATATTGTTTAATTTTTTCATATGTTCTAAATTGAAATACAACAACAAAAATTATATTTACTTCAAATATTATTAACATAAAATTTTAAAATATTATGTTAATAACATGAATGTTCAAATTAGAATATTTTTACAGAAAATTTAGAGAATTTAAACACAATTTAAAACTTACCAAACATAATCCAACGATGACAACAGGCCTAAAGTTTGTTGAATTTGGTGTCTAATTATAATTTTTTTTAATTTTAAATTCTCATTTCTTTTATAGGTTTTGAGTGTATTTATGTATGTTAGTGTATATGTGTGCAGGGTGTATATAGGGTTAGTGTATAATTGTTATTACAATTTTAAGTTAATTTAAGTTAGGATTAAGTTTAATTTTAGAAAAAATTAAGTTAATTAAATTGAAATTAAAATTAAATTTAAAATTAAGTTAAGATTAAGTTAAATTATTATAAAAATTTAGATTAAATTTAAGAAAATTAAAGTTTTAAGTTAAGTTAGATGCAATTAAGGTAGAAAAGTTTAAGTAATTTAATAAAAATGTAAGTTTAAGATAATTTAATTAGATTTTAAGTTAAATTAGATAAAATTAAGATAGTTTTTTAAGATAAAAATTAGATCTAGTAGCTTTTCAAAGTTGAATTAGCGTAGTTTTAGCGTTTAATTAAGATTAACGATTGATTAATTTAAGTTTTAGTGAGTAAATTAGTTTAGATTTTCAAGTTTAAATAGGTTTTAAGTTAGATAATTAGTTGTAGGTTATTTTAAGTTTGATTCTTGTTGGATTTTAGAAAGATGCTGAGGATTGGCGATACTCATATTAAAATGAAG